GACGAGGAACACCGCCGATTTGTTCCACTGCTGCTACCCATCCTCGGCAGCTGCAGTTGTTGCGTGGGAAATCCACCACACTTTTCCCGCGCCTCCTCAGCACGGCGCCACGCAAAGCCCGGCCGATGCCACCATCAACCAACAACAAGTCGAAGGCACCAACTGCCAACCACTGCCCTCCCCCTCCGCGAGGCACCGAGCCCCAGCACTGCGGCAAGGCGGCCCGCGGCTTCGCCAGGGGCAACGTGAGAAACGCACCAACGCAGCTGCCCGGCGCAGCCGCAGGCAGTTGCCGTGCACTGCAGCAGCACACGCGCGTGCGTGGGCACAAACGAGCAAACAGGCAAACGATGGAGACGGAGGCGCGCACCACCGCAAGAAACGGCCCACGCCCGCACGTGGCGCTCGCCTGCGCACAACAAAAAATCCGGAACCCCGCGGTGTGGCCGCGACCGCACCTCCCCGCCCCCGCCATCTCGGGGTGAAGCACACCCACGCGACAGCGAAAGCCACCACCGTGGCGACAGGCCCAGCGGCACACAAAACTCACGCGACAAAGACCAGACGCAGCCACCACTCCCCCACCGTACGCGGCACAACGCACCTGATGGCCGCCACATCCGGAAGCGTACACGACACGCGCCACTCGCAGTACCGTCACCATGCCCCTACAGCACTGCGGCCCTGGGGCCGCCGCCCCTCGCTTCGACAGTTGCGTGGCCCGCGCCCGGGGCAGGGCGGACCCCGCGCAGAACGTCCCACTTCCGCATGCATGCACACTGCGAAATCGCAGCCCACCGAAGTGCGCGGTGACCTGCTGCCCGACGCAGGTGGACAACATGGGCGCTGTTCGTGCCACACCCGTTTCGTAGCGTGGTAGCCAAACGGGTGGAGAAACGTGCCATAGAAATTGCGGCGCCCACAGAAGAGCGGTTCGGCGACGGCGAGCCCCCCGTGTCTAAGAGAGCACGCCTCGTATCGTCAGCGGTGGCCTCCACAGAGGACTCGTTGGCCCACTCCGCAGCGCACCCCAGCGTCCCTGGCATTTGCGGAACACCGCCCACCCCCGCATGCTGCCACCAGAAATCGACGATCGCCGCGCCTCCACAATCGGCTTGACACCTCCGACTGCCGCAGCGGCGTTGGTGCATCCCAAAACCAACAAAACCCGTGCATCCAGGCGGTACGCCACGGCGGAAACCGGATGGAAGCAGCGCCAACTGCGACTCCGCGGCATCAGGCCGTCAAATGCTTGCCTGCATGGAGGTGCCCTCCTCCGCCTTCTGCCGACACTCACCGACCGCTGCGCAAAACAGCGAAGCAAAAGACAAATAAGCAGTGTGGCCACCGCCGACAAAAAAGCAGCGCTGCAATGCAAACGAAAAAACATCCCCACGCCACACATCAGCGCTCAAAGCGAAACAAAATAAAAAACAAAAACAAAAAAAAACGCTGAAAAGAAAACAAAACCTTCTCGTGGGGCCCTCGACTCTCACCCCACACGTGGAAGATAGAACACAAGCAAGTAAACCCTCGGCCCATCGTGCCCACCGCCTCAATTCGAAAGGGATGTGCTCAGAATACACAAAACAAAAAAGAATCAATACATCAGGACGTTTGACGGTGACCGGGACCGTTGGGTCACACGCAGCGGCAGTCGCCACGCCCAGCAACCACTGCACGCCCCGTGTGGAAAACGTCTGCGGCGGAGGCTGCGGCGGGATGAAAAAACCGGACTCCACTCGCCACCCCAACGCGCCATCGCAGAAAACAAACCAAAAAAAACACGCACAAGACAATGCACACAAACAAATCGCCCCGTCATTCATTCAGCTTTCTCTGGGCGCGCGCCCCTCCACAGGCGTCCCAAATGACAAACAAATACATTACGAAGGAGCGGCGGAAGGCGAACCCACTCGCAGAATAATTTATTTACAAGGCGGGAGGCACGAGGGCCGTCCCATAGAAGCCCGCACCGCCGCCGCTTGCGCCCCACAAACGAAGAAGCTGCCACCCGCGCCAAACAACGTGGACACCGACCAACCGAGTCCTCCTCACCGGCACGCCTCCTCCGTCGTGGACGGCGACGCTCCAAACTAAAAGAAAAAAACAAAACACCAACACACTGAAAACAAAACGCTGAAAATAAAACAAAATGGCCAGCAGTGAACGCAAACAAATGGCAGACGCGAGAGGCAGTCCGATGTCATTGTGCTCCGCCCACGTCACGGCGGCGACCCTCGCACCTTCCTCCCTGCTCCCCCAATTCGCACCATCGCCGGGATGCTCATTGATACACGGAAAGCACAACAGAAGGGCATTGTGGACGGTAAACACAGCGGCGGCGCGGGCAATGACGACAGCCCACCGGACTCCGCTCTTGCAGCAACTCCACCCGCTTCCGCCTCGCACCGTCTG